CCTGGATGATATTGTTGTTGTCCCTGTAAAGAGAAAGGGAAGAGTAGTTCCAAGAGAGTTGCAGTTGATAATGAAGTCCAACCAGCTTATCTCACACATTGAGGAGGACCCTGAAAATCCAGAACACCCATTGGGCTCATACCCTGGACCCTATTTTTCAATGGTGCCAATGCAGAAGGATACCTATGACTGCCATGCAGGTAACATTTCATGCTTCTCATTTTAACAAATAGATCAATACTATCACAAACATAACGCATTCCAAACTTACAGATGTGACAGGGTGTGTTAAACAACTCACAGTTCCAGAAACTATTAGAGATACCCTGAAGCAATTCATCCTGGCCATACAAGACGCTAGGTATATTAAGAGCAAGTTAATTTATTTGACACTTAAATCAGTGGGGCCAAGGCGACTGTTCATTACCACGGATGGGACATCAACAAATACTTGAACAAAGCACCAACAGTATACTCTCGCCTACCTCTAATAACCACAATCACTAATGTGATGAGATTACCTCCCAAAGCAGGCCAAAAGTATCAATATGAGTTTGAATCAACAGCTGCCAGTCGTCTCATCATATGCTTCTATACAACTGCCTCCAAGGATATCATGAACATGTACAGCTAATTTCTTTATATTTTTAATGGTGTATTTAACCAATGAATGAAAACATTACTGACAAAGTTCACTTTTTCGCAATGCAGCTTCCTGGCAAACTGAAAGACAGTGTCATTCATCAATGCAGACACGAAAGAAAAAATAGGATACCTGCGTCTCACTCCACCAATGAAAACCCTGGGTGAAATCAAGACTGAAATTGGTTCTCAAACAAATGGCCCAGAGGTATGTGCAACACTCAAACAAAAGAACATCTTAAATAACAATACTGACTCTTTTACACATTAATATATGAAAGCGATGAATTTGGTTCCAGATATTGTATCATTGCAAATTTGCGATCTCACAAATTGTGTACCGAAGGAGCATCTATAAATCCACCAAAGAAAAGCCAAAGTAAGTTCAAACAGAACATTACATACCTTTACTTACCCTCATGAACACATGTCAACATAACTAACAACCAAATACATCTTCCATCGCAAGTCTCCATTATAAAATTCAAGCAAAATGCGGTAACAGGCCAGACGAAGTGGATGTCGTACATGACCATGAAACAGTTTTGTCCGTGATTTGTCTGTCACCCACTGAATACCGCAAGCTGCTAAAGGACAAAGCCAAAGCACTGATTGTCAAGAACTGTGCAAAGGAGTTTGCAAGAGAATTGTATGTTGCATGGCCAAAATAAGACATCCCAAATTCAGCACCATCTGTAGTCTATACAAACTAGAGTGGCCACACTCTGGAACAACTCAACATTTGACAAATGATCATTTGCATTCCTACCAAAGCATTGTAGAGGCTGACTAAAACATCTGAATGTGAACTCTATTGAACTCCTTTCCCATCAACCTGATCTTCCTATCTCCAAAACTGTAACACCCCACCCAGAATCTCTATGGTTGAACCCGTGGTTCAACCACGCAGCCAAATCCTTGGTGTTACTGGTTGAACTCAATCATCTCAAATATCATATCCGATTATTAAACACAAACATAAACCGTTATCATACAAACTCATTATTCAATCCCCAACCCACTTATTGAATTTTACAAAATGTGGGTTATTATTGAAAACACTCAAAGCAGAAATCCTAGGTAGGTAACCATGACAGAACAGTGTTCCAAACTACCTCATGATGGTAGTACAGAAGGATAGGGCAACCTCAGTAGTCCGATCCTAGTTGCACCTGCGAGCCTGAAAACATACGTGGGTAAGCAACTAAGCTGTGTGTGTGGATCTTTCCCACGACCTAATTTTGGGACCACAATCAGCTAATCAAACAATCATAATCAAGCATAATTTAGTACTCTAGATGCCATCTTAAATCATCATATATAAATTACCGATCAATTTATCGAATCCACCAACTCATCATTACCAAATCAATTTATCCAATAAGATAATCACATAATTTCATGAACACATAATCAATGCATGATATGAAAATTCCGGTTAATTATTAATGGCGCCAAGGTCACCATACGCTTACCATCGCTCGAGCAAATCATCATCTGTGGTGCTCATGCAACCACAACACTCAATCCGTGGTGCTCATGCAACCACAACACTCAATCGCATAAGCGAGCTAAATCTACCCACTCTCAAGGGGTGAGGGTAAGTGCAGGCCCTTTCTATATCTATGTGAATTAATATGATCATGAATCAAACCATTTCCATTTTCCCCATCCATCACAATCAATCCGGAATCAATGTAGTCTCACGGATTAACCAGTCCATATATATATATATATATATATATATATATTTCCCGTCGATTATCAACTCGACGTTTCACATATATCATTTCATTCTCCAGTAAAGCTACTCAACAGTACCATGTCCCAATTCCTCATCCAAAATTCATCAACAATTTCACGAAATAGCGCCAACGCAAATAATTATAAATAACCCGGTTGCTGTAAAAAATATCCTCATCTCAAAATTCACTTTCCTTCATTAAAATCCTCACACAATTCATGTAAATGAATTTATTGACACAAAAACCCATTTAATCTAGTTCTGGTCATAAAAACCAATTTAGACAATAAAATATAAAAAATCTCGTATTAACCATTATTTTACGGTAACATAAATTCCCACAAAAAGGTAAATCTGAAAATCTCCAAAAAAATAAAAGAACCTTCATTTATCATCCTAAAACAGGCCTGTCCAGTTTTTATATTTTTCAACAAATAAAAACCATGAAAATAATATTACATTCGGTCTTTACCGCAAATCTCGTATTAAGCTCGTTTTTACCATTTTAAAGATAAAAACTCCACCAACGGTCTAATTTACCATTTCCAGACCAAACCCCATTTAACAATCCATACGGACCATTTTAAAGTGATCAAAATCTTGAAGATAAATAAAACACGTTTTTGCCGAGATTTCCGTTAAATTCTCCGTTATGCAGTTTTTAATCCAGAAACAATTTTCAAGTGAAATCTTCTGCTCAATCTACCCCAACATAATTTTAGACAAACAAAAATATCTTAGATTAGTTTTAAACTCAATAAACCCAACTATTCATTTTTACGATGAAACTTGTCAAATACCGATATTTACACCGTAAAATCCATAACTATCAAGAATAATCACCAAATCATCATATCAACAAATAAGTATCACCCAAAGTAATCCATCCATCCAAATATGTAAATCAAGCATAAATAATCGATGCAATAATCAAGGTCCTCTTAATCCCCACACACCTTAATTTAGCTGATTCCAAGTTGGGAATTAAGTTCTAAAATTCCAAAGATTGGCTCCCAAAAATTCTCCTTGTTTCTGCGGTCCTGTAGTTGAAAACGGTTCGTCGTTTGGACGTCAAACGAAGAAACTACGAGTTGATCATCGTTAGTACGAAGTTACGGATTAATTGTTAATTTTCTGCATGTCACAAAATCTGCAGAAAACTGGAAATTTTCTTACCTCGCGTACCAACTTCCCGGCCTTGTTTCTCCCTTGTCTGAGCTCGGAATTCAATTCCGTAAAATCTGTGATGCTCGTGGAGACTTTCTCTTCGCAACGATATCAAGCTTCGTAGCTGATACTACCTTTAATGGTGCTGGTTTGGCTGACGAAAAATGTTACGGCAAAAGTTTCGGCGAAGAATTTCCGTTGAGTTGGTTTGACGATTTTGGCTTCGTAATGAGATTTGTGTGGGTTATAAACTTTTGCTGGGCATACAGAGGTGATTATAGGCATTTGTCAACTATCCTTTCCTTCCTTTCTTTTTCTCTTCTTGGTGTTTGTACGGAGGTAGCAATGGAGAGCTAGCTTCCCCTTGATATAGAGCTCTTTGTCCACTCTTCTACTTCTTCATTTACTGTCCAACTGATGGAGTAAAGGACTGGGTCGGCCTTCTAAGGGCAGTAGCTTTGAAAGGAAGAAACTCAAGTTCCAAAGCCGGCTCCATAAACAAGTTAGCTGCTGCTGCAATGCCTACGTCATCAAGTCTTAAATGAAGCGGCGCTAATATATCACAAGCTATTTTGTAGTGCAATTGATTAAGTTGCTAACTCATTCCTTAGCAAGTAGAAGGTCACTGTTTTGATTCTAGCAACATGCTAGTTTATTTTTGTTTCGGTTTTTAGTGGAGTTTCCGAGTGGTTTCACGAATCCTATATCGTATAGAATAATAACTAGATTTTTTTTCCAGCCTCGAATCGTACTATATGCTTCCGCTACTTGGAAAAAATTTATCCGAGGTTCGAGATGTTAAAAAACAATACCAAACAGTTTAGACCTAGTGCTCTTCAGGAAGTAAGGTGTTTTGATTTTGGAGCAAATTTATTTCGTAATCCCTGGATTATTTTGGCAGGCTCGGAATGGTAAACAATGTTTCATCCATGCATGGATGCTAAATATCATATTCTGTAAACAGTGCTGAAGCAGCATGAACTCACAACATGCATACCTGTATTCGCTTGATTATTTGTGTATGTCTTATTAATTACCAAATAGCAAGTAGCTAAGTACCTAAATAGCTAACAACGCAAATATATGGGAAACCTAATCTAAATGTGCAGATACCAAAAGAAAAGTAGATAGAAACATTGATTGAATTGTATGGTTGTTTATACTTTTTTAACAAAGCTGTCAAGTCTTATTAGGAAATTCGTATTCATATTTTACTTCATTGTTCATTTTTTGGCCCCATTAATTCATATTCACGTTGAATCGCTCTCATTCATCTAAATCATGATACCTCAAATACGTCAACTATTGAAAATGGAAATGTAATAATTTAGTTATCACGGTGCGGGCAACAAATACCTGGATTTGATTATTGGTTAGCCAAATTATTACCATTTAAAATTAAATTAAAGTAAAAATGTGCTATAAAAATTATTATTTTTATTAAAGTATACTATTTTTGCTAAAACACCTTGGCGTCACTTACACTTACACTATGTTTGGCAACAAGGGGGGTGCAAGTTCGAGAGGGGTACAAGTTGAGGGGTAAATTGTTGGGGGTGCAACTTGGTGGAGGGTGTAAGTGGATGGGTAAATTGTTGTTTGGATGAAAAAGTAGGGGGGTGCAAATAGAGTAAAAAGTAAGTAATTATATTATTATAAAATAGATTTATCAATTTATAAAATATTATCACAAACATGAAAATTCAATATATAATAATAAAAATAATTTTAATAAAAATAATTATTATATAATAATGCTCAAATATAATTATTTATAACAACAATAATAATCATTGGTCGAGCAACCTCGAAACTCGAAATCCAACTCGTAACTGGTCATCCTAAGGGGGTTCTCGTGCCTAACTTTAAATTGAATATGGTCAAACTTAGTCAAACACGTTCGAATCTGTAAGTTTTAACTACTTATTAAAGTAAATCGAGTTAACTAAACTGTTCCTCTCTATCTTTTCAACAAATGCTTCTTATCTCTAATTTTCAATGCAAATTCGGGTCAACTAAGAGATATCGATTTGACGAGGCGAACATTGACAAACTTGCTCTCTGAGTCAAACGGTCAACCCCAAACAACTTCTACACTAATATAGATATAAGAAAAATTAATAATATTAATTATTATGTAATTATAGTCTAATTAAAAATTCATAATTCCCCTCCTCCCCCTTCCCCCTCCCTTCCTTCCTTCCCTTGCACCCCAATTTGGGGGGTGAGCCGAAACAGTGAATTTACGCTCACGTTTTGCACCCCCTACTGTTACAAAATAACCAAACGAGGGTAAACACAAGTAAACTTGCACCCTCTTCCATTTACACCCCTTCCCAAACATAGTGCTAGACATGCTAGGATTTGGCCCAACGCCTTCTTGCTTCTTGACCAAACAGCATAGCAGGAAAATCAACAGCTCTATTAAAAAAAAAAAAAAAAAATCAACAGCAACCTCAGAAAAGAATCACACCAAAGATAATCGACCGGGATTCGGGTCCCTCCTACTGCATAACCTTCCAGCGTGCTTCTGCGTGTCGAAAATCGAAACCTCTATCGTACCCGGTGGCGGTCCGCGCGCGAAGGCTAAGGTCCCCCGGATAAAGAATTAAAGATAATTATTGCTGCCGCAATCCAACGGCGGAGTCGCCGACTACGAATAACGAGGAAGGAGAAGATAACGGACTTCAGTACGGCGACGGAGAGACTGATCGGTGGGAAGAAAACGAAGGGGAGGCGATAGGACACATACCCGTCTTCGCCTGGAATTGATTCCAATCATTCGGTTAATCGTCGGAACAGAAGCCCTCGCAAGGTGCCGCCTTTCCGCTTGCAATTTCTCGTGTTCGTTTTATAATTCGAGCTTCCCGTGGAATTGAAATAGGAGAGCATCCAGCACTTCCAAATCTGCTGGAAGGGCTGAAGAACCCCTGTCCTTCACTAGAATTTTTCTTTGTTTGTAACGGAAAGCGGGGAAAAGGGGGCCATTGGTGGTTGTTTGTTTTCATTCTCTTGTGTTCGTTCTGTGTGCATTACCAATCGCCAATGGCGGATCTCAAAGAGCGGTTGCTTCCACCAAAAACAGCATCAGCAGTAAACCTTAGGGATGGGTCATATAGGCCGTCAGCTTCTGGTCGACAACCATTTCAAGGGGTGGATGTTATGGGTTTGAAGAAACGTGGGCAGGGACTTAGGTCTTGGATTCGGGTTGATTCATCTGGCAACTCCCAGATTATCGAGGTTGACAAGTTTACTATGATGAGGCGCTGTGATTTACCTGCCCGCGATCTTCGCCTGCTCGACCCTCTGTTTGTCTACCCTTCAACGATTCTTGGACGAGAGAAGGCTATAGTTGTGAACTTAGAGCAGATTAGGTGCATAATTACAGCTGATGAGGTTCTACTTCTGAATTCGCTTGACAACTATGTGTTGCAGTATGTGGTGGAGCTGCAACGGAGACTGACTACAGCTGGAGTAGGTGAGGTTTGGCAATCGGAAGGTCCGGAATTGAATAGAAGGAGGAGTAGTAGGATTTATGATAATGTTTTTGGAACTCCATCCCCGGATTATTTGCCCTTTGAGTTTAAGGCACTCGAGGTTGCTCTGGAGGCTGCCTGCACTTTCCTTGATTCTCAGGTGTGTGATTGAAAAGAATTTCAACTTGGTTTGCTCCATCAATCTGATATCTACTTGCCCAAACACATACATATGTTACATATGAAGTGCTTTAATATTTCATAGTGACTGTTTTTTTGCACTCTCTGGCTACTTGGTTGATATGTAGTGCAACTCTTGGAAATAGCCGAATCAAGTTGTTCATTGTATTAGACGTAGCATACATGATTAACCCAAGTAAAAAAGTGTGGTTATTGTTAAGAATTTTGCTTGGCCTTTACCTAGCATCTTGATGGACGCTTACATAGATTGATTGTTATTCATGGTTCATTGATAATTTGTAAGTCTCTATGAGAGAATCTGAGTTGAACATTGGGCTCCATTAAATTTTACATATTATACTTATGCTTATGCGTTCTTGTTGAATGCCTGTATAGGCCATTTGCCTTGTCAGTCAGTCTTGAGGTTAAAGGCAGCAACTCGCTGTCTAATTGTAGTTTCTCATTAGTTTTTTATACTGATAAAACTGTTAAGGTTATAGGTAATTGCTAACAGTTCTTGAATGAAATGCTCAGGTATTTAGGTTCTTGCACAGATATCCTCATTGGATGTAAGGGGCATTCTAGTATCTTGACCAGTTGTACATATTATAGGAATCTCCTTTATAAAGTTGGGTTCTGGGTTTGGTGCAATATATAGATTATATGTCTTAAGGCTTCATGCATATGACTTAGTTTGCATATGCTATGTAAGAAGCTATGCTCAAAAGTTATAAATGTCCCTGTATGTTTCGTTATATGCCGAATTTAAATTTTTATGAAATTTTCACTGTAAGCTTAATGCTTCCAGCTAGGGGCTGTAACTTGAGAACTTGTAATCCATTGTCTCTCAAAATTCTTTCCCGAGGAAGATTCAGGGTTGATTATCCTAGGAAGAGTTGGGTGAAAAGATCGTCGGTCATAATGTCTCAGCAATTCGCTGTCTTCTTGGAACTTTTTCACTCAGTTGTTCCTTTCAACACAAAATAATGATCGTAGTCATACTGGAACTGGAACACCAGCATGGCGTCCTCATTATTAATATGTTGTGTATATGTTGCTCCTGTCCATATACATTTGAGAAATTATCTGCCTAATTGGAGTAATGGGAGCCTTTTGCTCATGTAGGTTTGTCTTGTCCGCGTACATGTAATAATTTGAGCATCTGCCAAATTGTTTCCAGTTAGTTTTTCTTGGTCATATATATGTAGGAAATTGTGTATCTGCCTAATTGGAGTAACGAGGGCCATGTGCTCTATTCGGTCTCGTTTGGTCTGTTATCTTACATTCTTTAAAATTCTGCTGCTATTTAAGTCGGTGATTCTATTTCATATAAACAAAGGCAGCAGAGTTGGAGATTGAAGCCTACCCATTGCTAGATGAACTGACATCCAAGATCAGCACACTCAATTTGGAACGAGTGCGTCGATTAAAAAGCAGACTTGTAGCCTTAACCAGAAGGGTCCAGAAGGTAAAAGGCATCCCATTTTTTCCTCCAAAATTCTGGATATGAACATTGGTTAAAATATGGTTGTGTTCTTGCTTCTCTTGGGCCATACGATCCAGGTTAGGGATGAGATAGAGCAGCTAATGGATGATGATGGAGATATGGCTGAAATGTATCTCACTGAAAAGAAAAGCCGAATGGAGTCATCTTTTTATGAACAGGGCTCTATAGGATTCAAGTCAAATGATGGAGGGGTATCAGCTTCAGCTCCAGTTTCCCCTGTTTCTTCACCACCTGATTCCAGGCGGCTGGAGAAGTGCTTGAGTATTGCAAGGAGTCGACATGAAAGCATGAGGAGCTCAGAAAGCAGTAATGAGAGTATAGAGGAGTTGGAAATGTTGCTGGAAGCATATTTTGTGGTTATTGATAGCACCTTAAACAAGTTGACATCAGTAAGAGCAGCTCAGCCTCTTTTTTTCCGTCTCTCGTTTCCTTTCTCGTGTTGGCTTGCTGCAAATAATTGTTTTCTGATGATCCACTTTGTGCTCAGTTGAAGGAGTACATTGATGACACTGAAGATTTCATCAATATCCAGCTGGTACCTCTCTTTGTCCCTATTTCAGCCTCTTTTATCTCGTCAAATTGAAGTGAAGCGGTCGTTGGATCAAATAGAGGCGCAAGATTCTAAGTGATCTAGAACTTGAACCCTGGAAACATTAAGCGAGAGTTTACATTCTGAGTGGGTGGCGAAATTAATAGCAGCTGTCCAAGTCGTTTGATTTTGTACTAAGTTGAGATTCGTGGTTTTGCAGGATAACGTCAGAAATCAGCTGATCCAATTCGAGCTGATACTCACTACTGCTACATTCGTCGTGGCGATTTTTGGGGTAGTAGCAGGTGTCTTCGGCATGAACTTTGCGATACCTCTGTTTGATTACCCAGGTGCTTTTAAGTGGGTGCTTATGATCACAGCAGTGTGCGGGATTACCATATTCTGTGCATTTGTATGGTTCTTCAAGTACAGAAGACTCATGCCGCTATAGAAACAGCATTATAGAAATATAGATGTTGCTATTCGCACTGCCGAACAGTGTCTTAAAGACTTCCTATATTATAGTTGCAAATGTCTCTGTAATAGGGATTTGTCGATGGATCGAGGACCGTGGCAAGGTGCCTCTCCATCTCCCTCTCTTTTGTTTGAGCATTATTTGGAAAGATCAATGAGAACAGTATATAGAGCTTAGCTTAATGTGGTAAATTGGCAGGGTGTATGATATCATGTTTGGATCCCTTTTGGAAAGGGATAATGAAACTTCAAGTCCATGAACAACTTATAGCAAACATCACTCCTGCTCTCATTTCTTACAACCCTAAATATCGTTTTCAAAGCCAAATGTCTAGGAAGGAAGTGGAGCAGCGAAATTGTCGGGTCTTCATCGGCGAGTCTCGTCGGCAACACAAAATCGACTGTGAAAGAGGCAAGCGGCTGTAGGCTAGGTGTATGATAGTAGTGATGCCATTGTTGAGTGAACAATTACCTCATTTTTGTGGCTCAATTTTAATGAGTCAGATTAGTGTAAGCATTCTGCTTCTGCAAGTAAAGAAAACTCAAGAAAGGACTTGATTGTTAGGATATAAATAGTTCAACGATGTGTTGTGGAAAAGTCCCAAGTTAAGGGACAGATTTGTTAGATGTATAAAGTAGAGGCGTTACATTGGTAATAAGCCTTTTCTTTGTTCCCCGTTCACTACTGTCCGGGGCTTTGAACTTTGATATCACTATCTGTTCCTCGCTCGCGTTCCCGCTTTCTTGGTCGCCGACTCGCCGTCGCACCTCTTGTCGGTCTCCTCAATCGCCATTGTTTGCACTGTTCTCCGGTTGGCGAAACGAAGCAATTTCGTCTTCTGAAGGTATTTCATTGCCGGGAAGTCAAGGGCTTCCTCGCATCCTGATCTGCTGTCTTTCACTCTCTTCTACTAAAGCCACCAAACGATCACCTCCGCTAGAAGTACGTTTTCTCTCTCTCTGTTCTCTCTTCCTTAGATTCCAAAACTGAAGAGTAAAAGGAAATGCGAGCTTCCTGAATCCGAAAGCTAACAGTGGTATCATTAGCAGTAGATTGATTCAGGTAGACGATAGATCTCCCTGATTGTGTTCCGAGATTCCCCGCCTTTGAATTGTTCGAACTCTCTCTCTCTCCTAGAACTAGAAATTAAGTAATTAACTATCTGAAAGTTTGAGTTCATTCATTTTGGTTGGTTGAACTTTCAAGGGATATGGCGATCACTGCGTCATTTATCATCGTGAGCCGGAATGACATCCCGATATATGAAGCTGAAGTTGGATCTGCTACTAAAGTAAATTGATCTCTGCTCCCATCTTTTGCTATTGTTCATTTGCTTGCAATCCATATAGCCATTTTCGTTTTGAATTCTTCATGAACATATATGAAATTGGAACCTTTGGATTGGGCATGTCGATCTTCTGGATAGATTAGCTTTCGGATGGAACTTTGTGCAATTCAGCATTGCATTTTTCTTGAATGTATGAAAACCCAGTAGACGAGAAGCTGTTGAGAAGTTACTTTGATGGTGGTTCTTCGATGCCCTGGATTTGACATTTCGTGTTTCGCTTTTGGATCATGACTACAGAGAGAGGATGCAGCTCAGTTGCATCAATTTGTACTACATGCAGCGTTAGATATTGTTCAGGACCTCGCTTGGACCACTAGTGCCATGTATTTTCCTATCTTCTCAACCCCTGTTCTCTTCATTCATCAATGCAGTTTTAATTTTATGTTCTAGTGTTATCGTTTATCAAATGATCCTTGACGGTTCATTTCCTTGCTTGTGTAACAGGTTCTTGAAAAACATTGACAGGTTCAACGACCTGGTGGTATCGGTGTATGTTACAGCTGGTCATATCCTTTTTATATATTGATTCCCTTTATCATCGCCTTTGCTAGTATCTTAAGTAGTAGTTATTCGCAAGGATTAACTAGGCAAAGCAGGGATAACTTTGTCTGCACATAATATAACCCTAACTTAGTAGTTTCCTTGGTTGGTTAAAGTTTCATGCTAGCATGTATAGTATACCTCTTCATTTGTGGTGACTACCAGGATCTGCACATCAGAATTTCACACTTGTTAATGGTGACTACCGTAATCTGTGCATCAGCATTTTAGAGTCTCTAAACATGCATACCACTCGATCTGTAGTCCAAAGCACAATCTAATCTGTGCTGCTCGTGGATAGATAAGTCAGTAAGATGCATTACACTTAAAGCATTCAGTATCAGATATTTCCTTGACATTTTCAAACATACACGATTGATGCTACTTCATGACTCCCGCAATGATGATGGGATTAAGAGCTTTTTTCAGGAGGTGCATGAACTTTATATAAAGGTAAACTTGCTCTGACTTGGATGCTCTGTTCATGTGTTGGTTTTTCAGTTGTCAACTGTGAAAAAACTAGCTGGGTCTGTTAGTTGAGATGAACTGAAACGTTGGACTTACGAAGACGGGGGAGGGTAAAATGTATTATAGGTTCTGAGGACATATGTTCACAAACATGTCATAGATTTCAAGAACCAATTTTTGGCTGCTATTAGTTGCTCACCTAGATTCATCGGAGAATGTAAAAGCATGACCTGAAGTAAAGATTATTACTCTATTTTGATAGCAATTTAGAAGCTATACCTATAATATGACGCAGTTTGTTAACTTTTGGCAACTCTCTGGTGCATTTGTCTTTTGCATAGTTCAAGAACTTGGAATCCACACACCCTAAACTCTACAGTTTTGGCATTACAATCCTAGCAAAGAGAGTTCCAGCTCCTCAAGTAGTGGGCAAATACCAGTCCCATGCCAAAGTTCATATTAGCTCTTTTTGCAAAGCCATTTAAAATCTAAACATCTATCCAATGTTGTAAGACCTTTTGCTGGGTCTTGGTGTTCCTTGGTTAACGTATGCTGATCAATGCAGGTACTGCTGAACCCCCTCTACCTGCCCGGTGCCCGCATTGCTTCTTCACATTTCGACACAAAAGTCCGCGCTCTAGCCAGAAAGTACCTGTAATCGTGCAAACCATCTACTAAACGACGCAACGAGCTCTTACCAAACTCTCCAGGGTAAAACATGATCTACAGGTTACACAAACGCCTCGTTCAATTTAGCCAGGGAGTTCCTCCTTACTTCTCAACTAGTGTGTTCATAACGGCTTGAAGGTTCCATTTGGTGAGAACCTGATGTAGCTAGGAAGACTTGATTTTGATGTACAACCCCCGGTTTTTATCCATGGTATCTTCATGTTTCTCCTCATGAACAACAATGTTGGTTATTGAATGTTCAGCATGTGATTGTACATTCTCTAATGGTGGTTTTCCCACCTGAACTGTGACTGTGTTTGATTGCATTTGTTTAATGGTGGTTTTGCTTCTGCCTTGGGTTGCTGAGTTTCTACATAGAGATCCATCCACCCTTTTTTTTTTGGCTGGGTTTAATTTTCCCACCGAAAAGGCCGGTCCGCTATCCACGTCTGGCTATTTCTCGACCAACCAACACCACCCTCCTTTGACTTATGATGGTGTCCGGCGGTGCAACATGCAAACCACCACTACTTCTTCCCCACTTCTTTATTTAATAGGCGTTGTTGATGATGGTTTAGCTCATCTTAATGGTAGATTTCTATGGCGGTGAAGCAAGCAAATAGTAGTGTTGGGATATTGATCGAAACCGGACCGATAAGAATATCATTGGCATCGCTTTTTTTTTTATATTCCAAATTGTTTGTACATTATGGGTTTCGTTTTAAACCGATAAATCGAAAAGAAACCGAAATCGAAAACAATAGACGAGAGGTGTAAGGGGATTCAGTTTTGATTGGGAGTGTAGCAAGCGCTTCAATAAAATTGTGCATTCAATTGATTGCCTATCAACAAAAGCCTCTTCATGAGTGAGTTACCTTATCTGAAAAGGAGATTCTATGTGTTAGGACTTGGGACTTCATGATATGTAATTATGATAATTTTAAGAATCCTTTTTCTGATTATGCATTAAGAACAAAAAATTGAGATTTGTTTTTGTTGAAATTAAATTCTTTTTGGGACCGAATTTGTTCATCTCAATAGTTTAAATGTTTTAAACGCTTTTGAAGTATGAATTATTTATTCTCAACCTAAATGAGATTGAAATTGGTCTACATCTTACTTTGTAAGTTTGAAAAATATGTTTATTCGGCAACACTTTAGTTTTATTCCTTTTCATTATTTATTTTGTTGAAAATTTGAAATAGGAATTTTAGTCCTAAAAAATTCAGAATAGGCCTTTATTCGATCGCACGTGACGTGACTCAACCCTTCTTCACTTCATCTTTTAAAAAGAAAGCTGGGAAAAGAGAAGAAATAATAGCTTTGGTGCTCTCAAAGCTCTAAAAATATATATTTTTGCTAGAAACTCACAATGGCTTTAATCAACAAGTGTAGATCGAGATAGCCATTTTTTAGCCCAGAAACTTAAGAGAGGGTAATGCAATGTTTTCTTCCATTATCCGATGTGACTGAGTTCGTTTTAGATCGATCCAATATAAATTGATTAAATTCGTTGTTTTACATGTAATCGTTTAACGTATATAATATCTACTATTGTTTATTACTTGTTACTTTATGATAAGAATATATAGATATTGATTATATCAGTTCCCAACATTCTTTTTTACATTTAGAGTAAACTTTGATCATATTTTTTATTATCTTGCAACTGCTTAATAACTGAAAGGTTACTGACAAATTCGATTAATCATTTAGTTATAAGCTTTTTACTTATTCAAAATATGATAATTAGAAGAGATCATCTTTTCATTAACTTTTCCAAAATATAAGAAACGCGTAATTCCAAATTTTAGGACAATTAGGGGTCGTTTGGAAGTTGCGATTGTTAAATAGATGTATTGTTGAGAATGCATGTATAATATTATACATGTATTGTCGAATTTGATGCATTGTAGAATACAACGTTTGGTATGTGTGATTGTATATGTCGCATCAGCTAAAAACTGAGACAAAACAATCTCAACTCAACTATCTCAACAATCACAACTAAAATTTGAGATATAACAATCACTCAAAATGAGTGATAGTTTCTGTCACATCATAGAAACAATCCATGTATGGATTGTTTCTGCTAAAAAAAAAACGATGCATTGTAAACAATACATGCACAAAGACAATCTCAACAAAACAATCGCAACTTCCAAACACCCCTGAAATTAAAAAAGAAACTCATAACAAATCATCCGGCCCTCCCTAAACCTTCGTAGTACTTTTTTTGTTGTTATTTTTAATTGTTCAAAGAAATCGGTGTCTCGGTGTCTCCTTTTCTTCAATGGAGCTCGTAAAAACATAGTAGAGAAACCAAATGCATAAAACCAAAAATATTCCCTTTTCTGATAAATAAACAAAGAAGAAAACGAACTTGAACGACGTTTGGACGCGGCAGAAGTAGCAGCTTCCCACTCCAACACTCCTTCCCCTTCCCTCCATCTTTCTTACTCTACAGACAGCAGATAGAGAGAGAGAGGGGCAAGAAACCGACGCCACGACTTTCTTCCTCCTGTAATTTTCTGCTCTCCCTCTCATTCTCATTTTTGTTTCTCCCAACATTCCCATTCTCAAGTTCGTTCTTCGTTCTTTTTTCTTCTTTGTGTGTTTCTTTTTTGGGCCATTGAGAAGGAAATCCCTGCTTCACTGTTCCATAGCTACTTTCTCTTCTCTTTTGCTCGCAGTTTCCCGCTTTGCCTCACTTTATTCCTAGTTTTTGGGGAGTTTTGTTCCTTGATTTCGACTTCATTCCTAGCGTAAAGTAATGGGTTCCTCATGATTTTGCCTGTGAACCCATTCAATCCCCGGATCAGTTGATCGTAAGGACGAAAACCCAGTTGCAGGTTTGCTTGTTCTTCTTTTGAATGATTCGAGACTTCGGAAATTGGTGGAAAATGAAAGATGGGTTGGGCTTTGATTCCACTGTTTTGTTTTCTTCTACCGTCTCTCCCATGATTTTTCTGAGCCAGTAGACAGGGGTTTTTTTTTGTTGTTTACCGAGAGGAACAAAAATGGTAGTTTTTAAATGTTTGCATAACGGGATCCCTTTTAATGGCAACGGTTATCAGATTAACATGAAACTCGGGGGAAGGAAACATAACCTACCACTTGCATTGTTCAATTTCCCAAAGCCAGGGATTTCATTTTCGTCCTAGATTTGCAGAAAGGATCATTTATGTCTTTGGCAATTTTTTCCAGATCAGGGCAGCAGAGCAAGTGAGGAGGGGGGAAATGGCGTCGTAATTTAAACCACCGGATCAATCTACTTCCCCTCCATTACCTTATCGGAAGCTGCCTTCACAACTTTGTGAACTGCGTTCACTCAACTTTACTCCTGGCATTGAAAATGACTCGGAGTTTGTAGGTACACTTACCATTTCCCTGTCTCTATCTTCCTCTTTTGATGGTTCTTTGTTAGAGAGAAGAGTTGGGAATGGGGACCATGAATGCCAGCAGCAAAAGATCCAAAAACTTCGCTTTTAAACTCTCCCAGTTGGGGGAAGAGTAGCTTCAACAGTTCTTTGGCTTGGTGTTGAAGCAATTCGTCTGGTTTTTGTGGGTTATGATTGGATTGACAATGGCAATTGATCAATGTTGAAGGAATGAGGTTTTTTGGGTTCCTTCACTTTTTTTTTTCACTTAATTTTCTTTGTGGGCTTGTGTTTCTATTTATAAATAATCAAATCTTAGGACTGAAGGTTACGCAAGAGCTTTCATTCTTAACTACCCTTCCACGATTGTCTTCCTTTTTCACTTGCTATTTGCCTTATTCTTCTTTTCTGGCTTCCTATTTGGTGCTCACTTTAATATATTTTGCTCTCTTCTTTGCACTTTCACGCTTGGCAGCTGTCATTAGCCTTCTCTCTTTCTTTTCTTGGTGTTCTAAAGTTGGGTGTAAATTTGTTAGGTGGTTAGTTAGAGCGACCAAGTATAGCTTGTTTGATGGAAACTGTTGATCAATATTCTGCTTCTTTTATTCCGTCCTCTAATGTGAGTACTTAACCCTTGGGTTAGTTGGATAATGACGGTGATTAACTTCTTATTTACAGTCAGTTTGGGTGGTGAAGGAAGGGAGCAATGAATTGCAATGCCTTTAGCGACAATGCTGCAGCTTTACCTATAACAACTTAAAACCATCTTGCTTTGCGGGGAAAGAGTAGCTAAACTGTGAGTGCTTTTGACTCAAGAGACTTACGGTTTGCTATTTTTAGAACTTTTTTTTTGATCGATGGGATTGATTTGATTCAGTGTGGCTAAAAAAATGGGGTCAATTGGAGCTGAAAGCTCACCGAAGATGGAGAAGATGCAAATGGCGGCGAGCACACGAGAAGAGAAGATTCTTGTCTTGGTGAGACTCAGACCTTTGAGTGACAAGGAGATCATGGGAGATGAAGTTTCAGATTGGGAATGCATTAATGATACTACTGTCTTGTATCGGAATACCCTCCGTGAAGGCTCCACGTTTCCCTCGGCCTACACTTTTGGTAAGTGGATTGCTCATGGCCAGATCGATAACATGCATGATTCTTTGGCATTGTTATTCACCTGGTCTTGTATTGTGAATCATCTAGATGCCACCACCATAAGTCTTCTGTCTTTATGTTCTGAACTAGATGCAGTTGAAGTCTGGCGTATTAAGGGGTTTTTTCACTTTCCCATTATTTTGAAATAGAATATGAAAGACCCATGGTAAGTTCTCCTTGTTGAATGTTTTGAATGATCGAGAGTGTAAATCTTTGCTGTTGTAGCTTCCTGTATATTTTATCCATGCTTAACACATTGTTATTATGCTCCAATGTTCAAGTTGCAGAATCAGATTCATCTGAGGAACTCACATAACTGTAATGTGCTTGTTAGTGTTCTTGGTTTGGCTCCATCTCCATGTGTCAGCGATGCCTTGTTGATTCTGGGTTGCAGATTTTTAGTTAAACAGACTGCATGATACACTGTGTTTCTGCCCAGCAGGGGATTTATTGAATATGTTATTTTATCAAAGCAACATTTGATCGCCAGAAAGCTTCTGATTTTGGTGAAACTTAATTTTTGTCCTGTCCTGCTCTTCTGGAGGATAGATAGAGTATTTCGGGGTGATTGTACAACGAGGCAAGTGTACGAGGATGGACCCAGAGAAGTGGCCCTTTCAGTTGTTAGTGGCATCAATGGTAAGCATCGTATTACCTTCTTAATTTGAGATTTTATCTTTCATCTTTGCAATCATAACTTGGCATCTATTATACCTTTCTACAGCAAGCATATTTGCTTATGGTCAAACAAGCAGTGGAAAGACGTATACAATGAATGGTATCACTGAGTATACAGTAGCTGACATATTCGACTATATAAACAAGGTAGATTTGGAATTCTGACTCGATGTTGTAGGTCAAATTTTTAGTTAGTTTAGAGGACATTTTGTACTCATGAAGAACGCATGTGTTGCAGCATGAAGAAAGAGCCTTTGTTCTGAAGTTCTCAGCAATTGAGATATACAACGAGGCTATCAGAGATCTCCTAAGCACAGAAAACACTTCACTTAGACTCCTAGATGATCCAGAGGTGAGTTGCGTTGCTTCATCACCTGTTGGCTCGGGCAAAAGGTGTTGTCAGTCAACATAGTCTCTTACGTGTTCTGGGTTTTGTTTCTTTCTCCTTTTTTATTTTTATTTTATTTTATTTTATTTTTTATCAGAAAGGGACTGTGGTAGAGAAAGCCACTGAAGAGACTCTAAGGGACTGGAACCATCTAAAGGAGCTCCTATCAGTTTGTGAAAGTAAGCATTCGTAAAACACCTTCCCTTCAGGGAACTGATTATTTGTGTCTTTTACTAAATCTTTCCTATTGCTATACAGCTCAAAGACAGATAGGGGAGACCTTTTTGAATGAGAAAAGCTCCAGATCACATCAAATCCTTAGATTGGTACTTCCATACCTCTCTGATTCTTATGGTTTAACATTGTCTTATGACTATATCCATTGTCTTCATTCTCTAACACGTGCTTATTGTCTGCTTATTTCAGACAATTGAAAGTTCTTCTCGTGAGTTCTTAGGCAAAGAAAACTCGACCACCCTTTCAGCCACTGTGGTATGAACTGCTTCTGGTTGATGGGTTGTTGGACTAAATTGAAAAAATATTATCCAAGCAGTTGGGGGAGTTTCTCTAATTTACTGGTTTTTGGTAGAATTTTGTCGACTTGGCAGGGAGTGAACGTGCATCTCAGGCATTGTCTTCTGGGGCAAGATTAAAGGAAGGATGCCACATTAACCGCAGTTTACTGACTTTGAGTACTGTTATTCGTAAGCTAAGGTAAATGAAATGTTACCGCTGGTCATTCTAGTTATGCTACACTTTTAGCCTCTTCAATTAGGAAGCAGTGCAAAGACCTCTTGCTAACAGTCCTCTTTTTCATCTGCCGATAACAGTAAGGGGAGAAATGGACACATCAACTACAGAGATTCAAAACTGACTAGGTTGCTTCAACCAGCTTTAGGTGGCAACGCTAGAACTGCCATCATCTGCACATTGAGCCCATCAAGGAGTCATGTGGAGCAAACTAGAAACACGCTACTATTTGCTTGTTGTGCTAAAGAAGTCACTACGAAAGCACAAGTTAATGTCGTCATGTCCGATAAGGCTTTGGTCAAGCATCTGCAGAAAGAGTTGGCTAGATTGGAGAGTGAACTGAGAAGTCCTTCCCCCGCTTCATCAACTAACGATCATACAACGTTACTGAGAAAGAAAGACCTTCAGATTCAAAAGGTTTTCCTTTACTTTCTCTTCCACTCTATATGTAATTACATCCCTTCCCCAACAGTCAATAGCATTTGGTTAATTTCACTCTGATTTTTTTTTTTCAGATGGAGAAAGAAATCAGGGAGCTGACTAAGCAACGCGATCTTGCTGAATCTCGTATTCAGGATTTGCTCCAAATGATTGGTCAAGATCAAAATTCAAGAAAAACGGTATTGTGTTAGACCCCTCAAAACTGCGCCCATTTTAATGAAGGTTGAGGATCATGCTGGATAGATTGATTTAATTTTATTTGAAACTGTAATGTTACAGAGTGAGATTAGTCAGAATCCAGACCAACAAGAAAGGCGTAGATGGGAAGAAGATGAATGTTCAGTGTCAGAATCATACCCCCCTACTTATGGCGGCGGTGCAAGAAGAGTATACGGAACCCGTTTTGATGGAAACAGCGGGAGCCATCTACAGGACAGTGGTCTTGATGATGATGATGATTCTGATGCCACTTCTTCACTTGTCCCATTTGGGAAGAAGATTGCCAGATCAAATTCTCGCCATAGCCTTGCGATTATTGATGATGATGATGATGATGATGATGATGAGTACTGCAAAGAAGTACAGTGTATTGAAATGGAGGAGACGAGGCAAAACAATCCTGAACACCATCCGTCATCAATCTCACATGGTGGAAGTGAAGGACAAGCTGCAGTCAGGGTAGAGCAGGAAGTACCAACTCAAGGAATCGGAGATAGAGAAGCGCAACACTCGCAGAATAATGGATTTACAAACGAAGCAATGGAACAAAGGCTGCATCTTGTTAATGGGTCAAGTTCTATAAGCACGAAATTAGGGAGGAGCCGGAGCTCGAAAGAGAACCCCACAATTGGTGACAGCACGCCTCCCAATGGGTTGGAGAGGAAGTATGCTGGGCGACCAGAGAGCGTCAGGAGAAGGTTTCCATCCATGTTGTATGACACCGATGCTGCAAGACTGACAAGAAGTGATTCTCAGTCATCTATCGAGAGTGCTGCAACAGTTGAGACTCAGGGTGTAGCAACTGCAGATGAGGATATTCCAACAGTTGAAACTTTTGTTGCTGGACTGAAGGAAATGGCCAAGCAGGAGTATGAAAAACAGCTTGTCAACCAGGTGAGAAAATATTCCCTCTTTTTTTTCTTCTTCTGTAACAACAGCATGTTTGCCATGGAGTCCCTCATGACATTGGTTATTTTGGTTTCTTCATGTTAGACTCTAGGGGATGAAAAGAAGAAGACTAACGTCAAGGACATTGGATTGGATGCTATGCTCGATGAACTAACAACTCCTGATTCACCACTGAAGTTTGAGAGACAGCAGAGAACTATTATCGAACTCTGGCATACTTGCAATGTCTCATTGGTTCACAGGACGTACTTCTTCTTGCTCTTTAAAGGCGATCCACTGGATTCGATATATCTCGAGGTGGAGCTACGGAGGCTCTCCTTCCTTAAGGAAACATTTTCTCATGCAAACCATACGGGAGGCCATACTCTCACACTGGCCTCAAGGTACTATTCAGCTTAGCAATCTCCAGCCTTCTTTCTTTCCATAAGCTTTTACGTTCTAACTGAATGTGCCTACTTTCTGCATGGGTGGACAGCATAAAGGCGCTTCATAGAGAGAGAGTGATGCTGAGCAAGCTGATGCAGAGGAGGTTGCCTGGAGACGAAAGGAACAGGCTATATCAGAAATGGGGTATTGGGTTGAACTCAAAGCGAAGAAAGCTTCAGTTGGTCAACCGACTGTGGGGCAACACGAAAGACGTAGACCACATCACAGAGAGTGCAGCCATTGTTGCAAAGCTGGTGAGGTTTGCAGAGCAAGGACAGGCACTCAAGGAGATGTTTGGGCTGAGTTTCACACCTCCAAGCACAACAAGAACGAACTCCCTGGGCTGGACTTACAGCAAGTCTTCTCTTTTGTAGTAGCGGATCATGAGTAGAGTATTACAGGTCGAGTGTGATTTGGGTTTTCCCCCATTTTTTGATTTTTGTATGGTGTGATGGGTGATGTTTGAAACAAGAGTGCAGATTGAAGAGTGTAAATTACTAAATTCTAATGTGTAGTAGTTTGATTGACTATAGAGTAGATTTTCTGGTGGGGAATGAATGTATTGGCTTCTGATTTACAGTACAAGAATCCTTAACTTTTGAGACTTGAGATTCTGCAGTCTGCGAAAGCTGGTTGTTTCATGGGGACTGTAACTACAGAATTTTTAGATACTGAGGTGAAACCATTATCAAAAGCTGTTACTTCTTTCGCAAACTAAAAATGAATACAAGAGTAGTTCGGTTATCCATGTGACACGAACTATTGAGTCTAGAGTACACAGTACCAGGATCCTTTGAATACAAAAACCAGACGAAGAGTAATGCTGATTGAGAGACATTAAGCTTAGAAGACAACTGTGTCAAGCATGGTGCCGAGAGTCTGGATGATGTTGGACGACATCAGATTAGAAACGTGTTCTTCAAGGTGCTTTTTGGCATCTTGTCGTCCCACATTTGCAATAGCAAGCTTCTCAGGTGGAAGCTCGTCTTCTTCTTGCACTGCCTTGTTATACTTGACTGCTAAGTTCAACATCTCCTGCAATCCAAACCATGCCAAACAACAAGGAGATACAGAGTTCATCAGCATTAACATTTGGGATCGCACTAGAAACACATGCATAACTCGAAATGATCTAATTACAATTCAACAAAGAACAAAGCAAACTGCCTGCGGTGGTTTATAGTTTATGCTAGTCCAATCCCATTAGGGAATTACAAGAGTCGGAGTAGGGACTATTTGTACACAAACCAACGATTAACCAGTTATTCACTTACTGAAATGAAGAAAAGTACCGTATGGAAGGTCACTTGAAAAGCCACAATACTAAGTCTGACCGACAGTAAACCAAGCACTAGAGGGATTAACTTTTCCAGTTTGTTCAAATATCTTGTACTTAATTTTCAGGCTATCTAGATTAAATGAACTTCAGTAAAAAACTGATAGCCTTAATATCTAAATTCCTGTATGACAACACTTAGCATCCTTCTCTCAACAATGTAAGCACGAAAAGGGAACATTGACGTAAGGCCCAATGTAAGAGGAAAAAATCTGTACCCACCTGAACAGTCTGCTCATTGGTTTTTGAATGACCATCAAACCGCCTGAGAGTCAATCCATCAGTCCATTTCTTCTTGTGCAAGTTGAGAAGCATTTTCTCCTCAAGTTCATTTTTCCGGTAGTTAATGGCAATTGAATAGTAATGCCTATTCAGTCCATGGATCAACGCCTGAAGTTTTGAAGTAATCATATGAGTTGTTAGTGGAGGACAGAAAGGAAAAAAAGGAGTTGTTCAGTACAGAATAGTATAGACCAGCATTATTTTTCACCTGAATGGATGGTTTGTTGAGATTCCCAAGATTGGAAGTTGTTTGCCTGGGTTCCTGGCCGAGCATCATCGTCTGAGGGTTGATGAGACGGAAGGCATCAATCACGACCTTCCCTCTCACACTTTGAATAGGATCCACCACAACAGCAACTGCCCGTTGATTTAAAGCTTCAAAACTCTGCCAGTAAAGATTAGACTCAATGGTAATGCTTGATTTGCACATTCTTAACAAAGGCTCAACAATCTCAAAATGATCAATCACTAACATAATCAATCAAAAGTAGTCAAACTATGAAATACAATAATAAGAATACTAGAAAAAAAGACAAACATAATGAAACTAAACAAACCTGCTGTGTGTTAATATCAACACCAGAGAGCCAGCATCCAAATCCTGGATGAGAATGGTACCATCCAACAACCATCTCCGGCCTGGCATGTATAGGAAACAGTTGGGTTACAGCCGTCAAATAGTAGGCAGCTTTGAACTGAGTAGCCAGTTCAGCAAAACAACTAGAAACAACATTATGTCATTTCGTTCCTGCCCGTGAACAAGCTAACTAGCAAACTAAACTCTCCAATTCTAGTAAAGAGAACCTCACAGAGATTCCTTGAGCTCATCCACAATCGTAGCAGTTTCATTACAATCAAGAGATCTCTTTTTTTTTTTTCTGGAACATCATATGTCAACCTCAAAGATATCTTTTTCATTGTTTAAGCAATCTCAGCAGTAAGTATCAAGCAAATTTATGTTTCGATACCATGCCCAATGTTATTCTAAAGCAACAACGCAATCCGCACAAACTCACCTCCCAGTCTGCTTGAGCATATCGAGCATGTTAGTCTGGAAAACATGGTCGACAGCTTCAACACTGACGCCAGTACCACTCTGCGGCATCGCAAAGACGTCCACGACACGAACAGTATAGTCGTCCACAAACTCTCCAAGCATCAGACCCATGACCTCCATGGGAACTCCAGCTCTTCCTGTGGAGAAAAAGTAAGAAGCAAAATTACGATCGATCTCGATTTTCAATTCAACAGGACCACAAAACGGCAGCACCCAGCCATGGCCATGGAACCAAAATCTGGAGAGCATTTGGTGGCAAGCATCCAAACAAGCCACAACCCCAACAGATCCCAAAACCCTAGACCCGGCAACTGAGCAGCGTAGAGGGAAGAATGGTACCGTGTTTAAGCATCTTCAGAAGGGCGAGCGATGAAATATAGACCTGCTCCGACGAGTCAACGGCGGGGCCATCGGTCGGGGGATGCCCGAACCCGCCGCCGGCGCCGCCAAGCATCCGCTGGAGTCTCTCGATTCCGGCCATCTTCAAGTTTCCGATGCAGTGAAGAAAAAGCAAGAATCCGGAGAGAAATAGAGCAAGAAAGAGAAGATACAGTGAGCGGACGTTATTATCAAGGGCTATCTGGCCCAAGCTAGCGAAAAAACAAGACACTGCGTTTTCGGGTCCTTGAGCCCATGAAAAGTATTCTGGCCCAAGTTTGTTGGCCTTTCATATGATTCCTCTGTTTGGTGTCATCTCCAACTCTCAGAGGAAGGAGCAGACGCTCGATCAATTGACGGAGAGAGAGACGAAGATATGAGTGTGGCGTCAACGGCGGCGTACGCTGCTCGGCGGGCAGCGCAGCGGGAGCGGGTTCGGATCCTCTACCGGAAGGCTCTGAAAGACACTCTGAACTGGGCAGTCCACCGTCACCTCTTCTACGAAGATGTACGTTCATCTCTTTATACGATCATTTCCTTCGCGATTGGATCTCATTGGCATTACATTTGCGCCTTTTCGTGGTATCGTGAATCGTTTGCTAACTCCGCTGACTTATTGGTCACAGGCTGACAATCTTCGGGCGAGGTTTGAGGTGAATAGAGGAGTGGTACGCCTTCTAATTCCCCATCATATAGTTTTTTTTTTTTTTTTGTTCTTTCAGTCTTTAGGGTTCTTGCGATCTCCATTTGCCAGTGAACGTAATGGCCGTGCTCATGAAATGATAAGCTGTATGCAGATTCCTCGTTTCTGAGAATTTTTCTTAATTCTATCCTTTTGTACTTGGGAAGTGTTTTTATCAGCACGACTCGCGAATTTTAGGTGTTCTGGTTTGATGCATTTTCCTGAAAATCAGAACATAGAGCTACATTTGTATCATGTGGGTGCTTCGTATAATCGTATGTATAGCAATTGTAATGGAAAAATTCAAACCTGACATGAACGAGCCATCTCTGCTTTCTGGGCTTACATTTTCGTCTTTGATGTTCCATGTATGATGATCTGGTTGACGATATGTCGAAGTCTGGAGAGAAAGAGTTAATGTTTCTGTGTTACTTTTACTCTAGGGTGGATCAAAGTTGATATGAAGCTTCAATTTCGAAGCCTGTTCTTATCCATCTGCTTTGCTGAAGTTAAGGTTTTCCCCACTAGTAAAGAACAAATGCTGTGCTGCTTTTTTATGCGAAGCTGTAATTATCGGTTTCTGATATGTAGGGCTTGGAAATGTTGATATACTGGTTAGTCATGTTACAATTTCATGTTGATGCATTTGTTTCCTCTTGCAAACGTATTTTGGTGTTCTATATGAGAATTGTGTTTGGTAGTCTTTATCTCTCGGTGGATGGCCTTGTGTTGTAATTTTTTCCCCCCCACTTTGTGGCTTTCTTTTGATGCTTTGATTGTTTTGTTGTTGGGTTCTATTTTATTCATTTGCAGGAAGATCCTGACACAATTGATAGGCTCATTGCTGATGGTGAGGCACAATACAATAAGTGGCGACATCCTGATCCTTACATAGGTAAATAATCATACCGAGACCTGATTGACTCAGGTTCTTGTCATGATTGAGCTCTCAATAGCATTTCAGCCATACATGTTGTCCTACTCCTTAGAGATGTATTCCTTAGATTTTTGGTTTTAGTATTCAAGTTTGCTGTTGCTCAGAATATTCAGTTCTAAAGCTACCCATTCAATCCTTAAGTTTAGTTTTGCTGCTTGTTTACAGTTCCATGGGCTCCTGGTGGTTCTAAGTTCACTCGAAACCCAACTCCGCCTGAAGGGGTAAGTCAACCTTTTTTTCTGATGTTTTGTAATGTCATTAAACGTCTCTTCCCTGATGGCAAAATATTGCCAGAAGTTGAGGTAATGATTTCTTGCGCTAATTGAATTTTGGTAGTCTGCAATTGTCTATTGAGTTCGTGATGAAGGGGAAAAATGGACGTAGACTCAAATACATAGACTTCAGATTGGGTAAACAATTTCCATAATTAGAATTTGTTAGATTAAATTTGATCTTTATATCAAATGAGAAATTCATCTTTATGCATTGTACCGGAGAGCTTAGTTCATGAATGGGATTTGCAGTTCATGGATTGTTTGTAGCTTGAATTTGCTGATGTCAACTCTATGTGAAAGATGCAATGTGAACTCTAGGACCACAATTTGGGTAGCCTATCTTAATACCTCGTTGATGATTGGTTAGAGGGTCTTAAGAGACTTAAATTCTCTTTTTGCTTGGTTTTGATCTAAATTGAATCCTGATTCAGTACATGCTTGTTAGTGGCTGGCTCTGCTGTTTTAGATATTCTCTCTTACAACTTGATTGGTGAATAGGATAGGGTGGAAGGAAAGATGCGTCCAGTCTGTCATTATCAAATGTGCAGTATGCTTTAACTGTAATGCATGGCTTAGGCTGCTAGGTTGTAGCGTCGATTGGCTTGTAACCAGCCTGATCCTTTCAGCATACGATATTTTGGTTTCTTCTGCAGATTGAGATCGTCTACAATTATGGCCGAGAAGATAATGACTGAAACCTGCCTCTTTTCCAGTGCAATAATAAAGGTTAGCTCCACTAACATTTTCTAAGTGCAGCTCCTTTTAACTTCAGATTGGGGTAGTATTCAAGTCACTTCTGCTGTGTGGTCGGATTATAACAACTGATGAAGTAATGCTCATTCCCTATGAAGTAATTCTTGTTATAAACTGTTGCTGTTATTCCTTTGGGTTTATGCTGTAATAACCTCCCTTTATATTATAAGTAGAGGCTGTTTGCACCTGTCTTACAGCTTTATCATCGAATATGCAGATAGGGTTGATCCATGAACGCTGGGGAAGATTAAGACTCGGTCCCCATTTGGATGATTCATCTGAGGGTCACGCAGCTGTCTTTGTGCTTTTTGTTTCTGATAAAACTAGCTTTTTACCCTGCCCGTTGGCCGGAGAGATTTATTTTATAATTTTATATGTTTAAATCATTTTGGATCTTCTAAATATTTTATAACAGAGCTTGTAGTATGTCTATATTGAAATTTCCAATATTTAGCACACTGACTTGTGATGCTTCGGTTTTCGAATCATAAATTATGCTGCTATCATGTCCCATTTAGAACTTATGTCAAAATTTGTCAACCAAAACACTAATATTTAGCGTACGCCAACCTAAACCACACACATATATATAGTTCAAGCTAGCATGCCCCAGGAGTACGTTATACTCTTGCGTTCATACTACCATGCGACCATTGAGTTTTACTATTTAGACCTGAATTAACCGGATTTTTTTGGGGAATTATACTATACCCTAACCTCTAATAGGTGAACTCTAGTCTCTAATTCTGTAACCTCTAATTTATGCATATACTTCGTAATACCTATCTTCTATCGTATCTTGAGTTAAATAAAAAGTATAGTATACCTTGATATATATTACATATACATGTGTATATATATATGTGTGTGTGTATTAGACTCAAAATTATCTAGAGATCTCGCTTTTACCCCCATAACGTCAGAGAACCATTGGGGTTGTCTAATGTTCGATATATAATATATAAAAAGGCAAATACTAAGATCCTACTACTTATTTCTTATCCTCTCACGCCGACCCCTTTATGAAGAATAAAAAGGTAGGGATGACAGGATCATAGCTCGATATGATTTTATTATGTTCATCTTATCGGAGGCTATGTTTTTTTTTTTTTTTTTTTTTTGCTTCTTTTGGCTTCTTTTTCATTCTACTTTAGCACATATGGTTGTGATCAGAGGTATTTAGCCCTCGAAAGGGATTGGGATTTTAGGTCCTTTGGAAATCCAATACACATTCATGATTCTCGAGTTTGGACGAACTCTCGACCAATGTTGTAAAAATTACGACTTTTTAGTGAGAATTCTTAGTAAAGATACTTCATTGTTGGATTTATTCATCCATATTGAAACTTGACACACACTGTAGCCCTCATGATGACTAAATTCTCTAATCTCGACTCATTTCCATTTTGGATGTTTTTTTTTTATCCAGACACTTAAATTTAGTATATTATATAATATGTATCAATTGTTAATTTTTGAAGTTTATACTAAACCTCAACCGGTGGTCATTGTTTATATGTTGACTTAGAATCTCAATCTAAGGCACTCACACACACTATCGAGGATTTTTGGTCTTAACCTGGTCGTTGAATGTGTAATTTTCAAAGATTTTATCGCTTATATATTAATAATTGATAAAGAGTATCTCCAATACACACATATTTTAAGTGCATTTAAAATGTCTTATCATTTGAACAATATCAGTGTATTTCATTTGATTATTTGCATTAACTTATTATCTTATACAACATATAAAATCGTTTGTCTAGAGTCTCGAGTCTAGACGAACTGAAAACCAATTTTGAGAGTTGAGATTATTGGATAAAGATACTTGATTGCTGGATAAATATGTTTATCCCAATTGACGATCTTACTAAAAATTGCCAACCTTTATTTGGTAAATGCCTATGTTAGTAGTTGATGAAACCTGATGTTTATCGTAGATTCTGAACAAAGATTTTTCTAACCTTCACATCTATTATTTTTCAAGGAATCTTGTGTCTCATCCTATGGTATGAAGTCAAAGTTCGTCAACAATCATACTTAAGTCATTTTGAAAATTTTGATTTATAATCGTCGAAGATAACTCCAAGTCTAAAAGAAAATTTCTTAGCATTCGACTTAGAACCTCAATAGAGCTTGCTCAATCAACATGATATAGAGCAAATATTATTAATTTGAACTTAGGTCACATTATCAAATTATTGCACATGCGATTCCTCTTCATTTGAGAAATTTAAGGTAGAACATGATATGAATGAATAAGAATTTGTTTTAAATAAATAACTGTAACTACTCGATCAAGATTATACTCTGACATTTTGCTAAATAATACTGTTTTATTTTATAGATATATATTGTACGAATAAGAGAGTGTTTCATTGCAACAAAATATAAAGTAATATAGTTTATTTTTCAAAGGTAATTGAATGTCAAATGTTTATTTTCTCTCTTTTCATATATATTTTGGTTTAATCGATTAAAACATAATTGTTTATGTATATGTTTGTTTATTTTTTCATCAAAATGTATTTTATCATTGAATTTTAGTAAAAATGAGTAGAAAATTTATTTCATAAGGTTTAATCAGATATTTTTTATTTAAATAAATGTGATATATGTCACTCTTTTTTTCTTATTTATATTTTTTATTTAAAAAATTATTATTTATGTGTGTTAGTTTAGTTTATCAATATGTAACTTATTATTAAAGACAAAAAAGAATAAATGGATAAATGAAAAAGAATAATTGGATAAAAGAAATGGAAATATGAAAAAATGATTGTAGAACACACTTGGAGTTGGGGTCTACACTATTAAAAAAGAATTGTCTCTGTATATCATATTAGACAATCATTCACGAACTGATCACATATTCAATTTCTAAACTTGTTCTTGATGTAATCCAAAGCTGAAAAGACTCTTTCAATACTTGTTGTACAACCATAAATCAATACAAATTAAGGGTAGCTTGAAATTTGTTTAATTGTTAGATTTTGAAAATAATTAGAGATAGAGAATGACATTATACTATTACATAGTGTTTAAAATCGAATAACATATGAGTTGTAGCCTAATGAAAATTATGTTTATTGATAATAAAAGTGTCCTAGGTTTGAATTACCCAAACTACGACTTATATTCTCATACTCAAACTAAAAGATGAGAGTAGAATAATCACTTTTTTAAATTTAGGGGTGTCCCTGACTATCAATTATAATTTTTTTGTCAATACGTAAATTACTATCGGGGGTTGGATAATCGTTTTCCCAAAATTTAGGGGTGTCCGGGGACACCCCTAAACACCCTTGTGTCCGCCCCTGACTACGACTACAGAGAATGGCAACTTGGTGTATAACAAACGCTATGGATCCATCGGCCATTGTAACAAATTTATAATCACAAAGTTTTAACGACAACTTGGTGTATAACAAACGGTCTGGAACCATTGACCACTCGGTTGAGTGTAAGAAGTCAGAATGACAAATGGCAACTTGGTGTATAACAAATGATATGGAATCATTAACCACTCTGTTGAGTGTGAAATGTTATGTCACAATCACAGTGGACAATGACATCATGGTGTGTAAGTGTAACAAATGTCTTGGAACCGTTGACCACAAGTTGAGTGTAAAAAGTCAGTCACAATGGTTAATGGCAACTTGGGTTGAGCGTGTAAACTAAGAATCGCAATGGCTAATGACAACTTGGCGTCTAACAAGTATTTTGGAACCATTGACCTCGGATAAGTGTTTAACGATCACTATGGTCAATGCCAACTTGAGGCATGTCAAACGCTTTGGAACCGTTGACCTCAATGGCGGCTACGACAAACCCTATGGAATCCTTTACCAGTTAGTTGAATGTATAACAATCCCAATAATTCTCTAAATACACATAAAACTAAAACAAATTCCTAAACTACCACACTTATAAAAAAAATTCCCAAAATACCTAAGTTTGGAGTGGTTCGAGTTTGAGGAGCTCGAACTACTAACCGATTCGAGTGTAGGAGACTCGATTTAGTCATAAATCGATGATATAAGCCTCGAACTACTGAACTCGAACCACTCCTTTGAAATTTCTAACAACCTTAACTTTGTGCTCGGTTATCCGATCGTAGCAAACTTTTTTTCCATTTCGCATAACTTTTCGAGGACTACAACTTTTATGATAGAAATATTTTCAGAATATATGTGAAAATGTGAAAAATAAAGTTAAAGTTACTCCCAAACCCCCTTATATTAAAAACTATTCCTATTTTGAAAATGTATTCCTAGTAAATGTTGTAGTACTCAAAAAATTATGCAAAATAAAATTTTTTTTTGAGACGTTCGGATTGCGGAACACAAAGTTATGATCCTCCAAAGTTTGACAAATTCGAAAATTTGCTCGTTTATGGGTAGCAAATGACGTTTTCTAGGAAGATAGCCATTCAAAAATTTCTCATTTGGAAAAATATTGCTCTTTTGGCATAAATTCCCTAAATAAAAAAAAATTTCCCGTGCCTTCGCTCCGAGAAAATGTCATTTATTACCCCTAAACGAGCAATTTTTCGATTTTGCCAAACTTTAGAGGATCATAACTTTGTGCTCCGAAATCCGAACGTCGCAAAGTTTTTTTTTATTTTGCATAATTTTTCGAGTACTACAACATTTACTAGGACTAAATTTTCAAAATAGGAATAGTTTTTAATGTAAGGGGTTTTGGAAGTAACTTTAACTTTATTTTTCATATTTTCACATATATTCTGAAAATAATTCTATCGTAAAAGTTGTAATCCTCAAAAAGTTATGCGAAATGAAAAAAAAGTTTGCTACGATCGGATAACCGAACACAAAGTTAAGGTTGTTGGAAATTTCAAAGGAGTGGTTCGAGTTCTGTCCCCACATGGTTCGAGGCTTATATAATCGATCTCCGACTAGATCGAGTCTCATACACTCGAACCGGTTAGTAGTTCGAGTTTCTCAAACTCGAACCACTTCAAACTTGGGTATTTTGGGAATTTTTTTTTATAAGTTTAGTAGTTTGGAAATTTGTTTTATTTTCATTTGTATTTAGGGAATTAATCCTGAAAACTTGGGGTTATAACAATCGTTTCAGAAACACTTAGTTGAGTGTCAGAACTAACAATGACCAATGACCACTTGGTGTATAACAAACATTTTTGGAACCATTGACCGCTTTGTTAATAATGGCTAATGGCAATTTGGTGTATAACAATCCGTTTTGGAACCGTTGACCTCTTGGTTGAGAGTGAAGGCTCACAATCACAAATCACAACAACGAAACAAAAATAAATAATGACTAGCCATAATCCAAATGCTCATACTTCTAGCAATTAATTCACTAAGTTGACCCTCTGCTACTAATATAGGTATAGCGCTGGCCGCTGGTAGGTACTGTTGTGTTCATTGCCTTGTTTTGGCAGCGATGAATAATAAGATGCCAAAGCAGCTGTTTTGGAACTCTCACGAGATCTGCCAGATAGACGGCTTCTGGTATTTCGTCGAAGGTACAGAACGCATTGCCGCATTCAGGTCCGGATTCGAGCCGAGAAACGACGACATTCTCTTGACATCCTTCACCAAAACCGGAACCACCTGGCTCATGGCTCTCTGTTACAACATCCTTAACCTCGACGCCGACGAAGAAGAAGACCGTCTGGCAAAGAAGAATCCGCACGAAGTGGTTCCCTCGCTGGAGGTCAATTTCCTCGAGGACGAAGTCCAACGTATGTTGCTCAGCTGCTCACCTCCCCGATTGCTCCACACGCACGTGCCTTACAGTTACTTGTCGGAGGCGGTGAGGGAGTCCGGATGCAGGTTCGTGTACGTGGCTCGTAACCCGAAGGACACAGTGGTGTCGATGTGGCATTTCTACAACAAGCTGCTCACGCGCGGCGGCCCCGAGCCGTTCTCGTTGGAGAGAGCGGTGGAGAGCTTCTGCAGCGGGGCTGTGCCCTACGGGCCTTTTTACGAACACGTGGTGGGCTATTGGAAAGAGAGCAAGAGACGACCTGAGGAAGTGTTGTTTCTCAAGTACGAGGAGCTGTGCAGGGAGCCCAAAGAGCAGGTGAGGAAGCTGGCTTCGTTTATGGGGAAGCCATTTTCCTCGTCGATGGCGAGTGGAGATGATGATGAGGTGGTGGTGGAGAAGGTGTTGTGGCGTAGCAGCTTGGGTAGGCTCAAGGAGTTGGAGGTTAACAAGAATGGTACATGGGAGACAGCTCGAACACCGAATGCCCACTTTTTCAGGAAAGGGATGGTGGGGGATTGGAAGAACTACTTGACTTCTCAAATGGCTGAGCGCATCGACCAACTCACACGTTTGAAGTTCCAGGGGACCGGACTTTCTCTTGACGATTAATTGATGCTATAGTCATACCACCTACTTTTTTTTTTCTTGTTCTGCTTCAATTTGGTGTTGTATTTTGTGTTTTCCATTTTCGCGGTTTCAGATCTAATAAAAATAGAGAAACTTGCTTCGTTTTCTTATTGGACAACGCTGGATACTTTCATGCATAATTATGTGATTTTAATTTTATAAAACAAAGATGGAGGAAAGAAAAACGGGGAAAGGCTAGTATGCTAATACTTTTTTGTTAGCATGATACTAATACTAGTTCCAATCAATAAAAACATTTCGTTTGGATGACCTTTCCATTTAAATGAGTTGACCACAATTAATGAGGGGAAAGTGAAATAAGGCACGCATGGTATTATGAAAAATTGGGAAAGGAAGGAAGGGAGGTAGGGATGGCAATGGGTCGGGTTGGGTCGGGTTTTGCCAAATCCAAACCCAAACCCGTGGGTTTATCCGTGAAAAAAACTCGGGGTAAAACCCACTGGGTTTGAAAAACTCAAACCCAACCCAACCTGCTGGGTATCCGCGGGTTCATGGGTACCCACAGGTTTTTGTCGTAAAAAATTTACTATAACAAGTTCCTATCAAAATTAAAGTCAGATATCAATCTCTCAATACAAATTATCCATATATAAAACACCATTCTAGAAAATACAAGCAAATCACAAATTAACTATACAAATTGTTCAATACCAATCTAGAAAACTCAAGAAAATTGAAGCAATTCACAAATTATCCATAAATAACATGATTAATTGAAAGCTTCTTCCTTTCAATTAAGTTTCTTCGCTCTCCACTCGATAACATCAACTTCATTCTACACAATTAGAAAGAAAAAATTAGACATGTCTCCACAAACATAAATAAGATTAGTTGTTTAAAATATTAAATATACCAAGAAAATTATTATATGGGTGTGGGCGGGTACCCATGGGCCGGGTTTACCTAAACCCTAACCCAACCCAACCTGGTGAATAGTGAACGGGTTCAAACCCAAATCCGACCCAAAACCCGTAAACACGAATTTTACCCGCGTTGACCGGGTTGGGTTGAGTGGGTACCCGTGGGTTCGGGTTTTGTTGCCATCCCTAAAGGGAGGGGGACACTCTGAACTGGGCAGTCCACCGTCACCTCTTCTACGAAGATGTACGTTCATCTCTTTATACGATCATTTCCTTCGCGATTGGATCTCATTGGCATTACATTTGCGCCTTTTCGTGGTATCGTGAATCGTTTGCTAACTCCGCTGACTTATTGGTCACAGGCTGACAATCTTCGGGCGAGGTTTGAGGTGAATAGAGGAGTGGTACGCCTTCTAATTCCCCATCATATAGTTTTTTTTTTTTTGTTCTTTCAGTCTTTAGGGTTCTTGCGATCTCCATTTGCCAGTGAACGTGATGGCCGTGCTTATGAAATGATAAGCTGTATACAGATTCTTCTTTTCAGAGAATTTTTCTTAATTCTATCGCTTTGTACTTGGGGAGTGTTTTATCAGCGCTCCTAGCGAATTAGGTGTTCTGGTTTGATGCATTCTCCTGAAAATCAGAACACAGAGCTACATTTGGATCATGTGGGTGCTTCGTGTAATTGTATCTATAGCAATTGTTATGAAAAAAATTCAAACTTGACGAGAAAGAGCTATCTCTGCTTTCTAGACTTACACTTTCGTCTTTGATGTTCCATTTATGATGTTCTGGTTGATGTTATGTCGACGTCTGGAGAGAATGGGTTTATGTTTCTGTGTTAATTTTACTCTAGGGGGGATCAAAGTTGATATGAAACTTCAATTTCTAAAGCCTGTTATTTGCCTTCTGTTTCGCTGAAGTTAAGGTTTTCCCCACTAGTAAAAGAATAAATACTGCGCTGCTTTCCTATTCGAGGCTGTAATTATCGTTTTCTGGTTATGTAGATATACTGGTTAGTCATGTTACGATTTCTTGTTGATGCCTTTGTTTTCTCTTGCAAACGTATTTTGGTCTTCCCTATGAGAATTGTTTTTGGTAGTCTTTATCTCTCGGTGGATCGCCTAGTGCTGTAATTGTTTTATCACTTTGTGGCTTTCTTTTGGTGTTTTGGTTGCTTTATTGTTTGTTGGGTTATGTTTCATTGATTTACAGGAAGATCCTGACACAATTGATAGGCTCATTGCTGATGGTGAGGCACAATACAATAAGTGGCGGCATCCTGATCCTTACATAGGTATAATCATACCGAGACCTGATTGACTAAGGTTCTTGTCACGATTGAGCTCTCAACAGCATCTCAGCAATACATGTTGTCCTACTCCTCAGAGATGTATTCCTTAGAATTTTTCGGTTTCAGTATTCAAGTCTGCTGCTGCACGGAATATTCAGTTCTAAAACTACCGATTTTATCCTTAAGTTTACTTTTGCTGCTTGTATACAGTTCCATGGGCTCCTGGTGGTTCTAAGTTCACTCGAAACCCAACTCCGCCTGAAGGGGTAAGTCCTTTTGTCACATAACTTTTTTTCTGATGTTTTATAATGTCATTAAACGTCTCTTCCCTGATGGCAAACTATTGCCAGAAGTGGAGTCAGGATTTCTTGCATACGCTGATTGAATTTTGGTACTCTTGAGGTCTGCAATTGTCTATTGAGTCGTGATGAAGGGAAAAATGGTCATAGACAAATACATAGACTTCAGGTTGGGTAAAAAATTTCCATAAGAAGAATTTGTTAGATAAGATTTTATCTTTTTTCGTCGGATGAGAACAGTTATTTCACCTTTATGCATTGTACCGGAGAGCTTAAAGGTTCATGAATGGGATATGCACTTCATGGATTGTTTGTAGCTTGAATTTGCTGATGTCAACTCTATGTGAAAGATGCAATTTGAACTCTGGGATCCCAACTTGGGTAGTCTATCTTAATACCTCGTTGGTAATTGGTTAGATGGTCTGAAGAGACTTGAAGTCTCTTTTTGCTTGCTTTTGGTCTAAATTGTTTCCTGATTCAGTACATGCTTGTTAGTGGCTGGCTCTACTGTTTTAGATCTTCTTTCTCTTGCAACTTGATTGCTGAACAGGATAGGGGGAAGGAAAGATGCTGGCAAGTCTGTCATTATCAATTGTGCAGTATGCTTTAACTGTAATGCATGGCTTAGGCTGCAAGGTTGTAGCTTTGATTACCTTATAACCAGCCTGATCCTTTCCCCATACGATATTTTGGTTTCTTCTGCAGATTGAGATCGTCTACAATTATGGCCGAGAAGATAATGACTGAAACCTGCCTCTTTTCCAGTGCAATAATAAAGGTTAGTTCCACTGACGTTTGCTAAGTGCAGCTCCTATTGTATTTCTTGATTAAGGTTAATGCTCATTTCCCCACGAAGTCATTCTTGTTAGAAACTGTTGCTGTCATTCCTTTGGGATTATGCTGTAAAACCTCCCTTTTTATTATAAGTAGAAGATGTTCGCATCTGTCTTACAGATTTGTTATCGAATATGCAGATAGGGTTGATCCATGAACACTGGGGAAGACTAAGACTGTCTCCAAGTTGAATGATTCATCTGAGGGTCACGCAGCTGTGTCTTTGTGCTTTTTGTTTCCTGATAAGATGTTGTTTGGGGAACATGGGCAGAATATTTGAATGAAATGATCAAGCCTTAATGCCAAAGGACTTGTGACAGATTTAATTTTATGCTTATTCCAGTCACCATGACCTGTAGACAATACCGCGGTCTGGGTGTTTGTTTGATATGAATGTCGGAAGGGCCATTCAAATCCTTGTTCAATCTTACGCTGCAGCCACCGTAATTTCTTCGTCGGAGGTGGCAGCGTCGGCCTGCGACCAACTTAGTGACTTGTACTCTGTGTCTGTGGCTTAGGCGTCGAATAATAGGGGTGTAAGTTTGACCCTTAAAACCCATCGTCCTGCCCCGATCCTGAGGGTCGGGCTGAGTTAGTTTGTCTACAGGGACACCTTAGGGTCAGGGTCAGGTAGGGTCGGGTCACTTTTTGACCCTATGACCCTTAGCATCATACAAACACGTTGAACCTACTTGTAAAGTTTTAAAAGTTTAGGTACTAAATTGTAACAAAAATTGATTTTGGGTACCAAAATATTATTTTACCATCAAATTTTGGGACTTATTTGTAAAAAAAATATAATTTAGGTACTAAAATGTATGAAAAAATAAATTTGGCTAACAAATTAATTTTTTTTAAAAAAGTAGTGTATTTATTAGGGTCGATCCACTGGCCCGACCTTTCCTCACCCGCCCCGACCCTAAAGGGTCAGACAGGGTCTTGAAAGAAACAGGGGCGGGACGGATAAGTTATACATGTTGATCTTTTAGGAACGGGTCATACAAGGACAGGGTCAGGGGCGGATCATGCCAATTTTCCGCCCTATCGAATATGATATCAGTTGGCGAGTCACCATCGAACGGCTGGTTGCTCGTGCTCATAATCCGGCAGGTCAACCGTCTAGTTTCTGAAACCAAGAGTTGACTACGACTCCAGAGAATGGCAACTTGGTGTATAACAAATGTTTTGAAATCATCAACCACTGATTTGAGTGTGAAAATGTCACAACTCACAATCATAGAATTTCCGGTTAATGTAGGAAGTCACTTTTACAATGGCCAAGGACAACTTGGTATTTAACAAACTTTTTCGAACCAGTTGACCCTCTGCTATGGTGCTACTATATAGCGCTGGTAGGGCCGTGAAATAAGCACAGCAGTAGTAGTTGTCTCTTCAACTAGTAGTAGTACTGTTGTGTTAATTACGCTGCGATGAACAATAATATGCCAAAGGAGCTGTTTTGGAACTCTCTCGAGATCTGCCAGATAGACGGCTTTTGGTATTTTGTGGTGGGTACGGAACGCATTGCCGCATTCCGGTCCGGATTCCGGCCGAGAAGCGACGACATCTTCTTGACATCCTTCATCAAAACCGGAACCACCTGGCTCAAGGCTCTCTGTTACAACATCCTTAAATTCGACGACGACGAAGAAGAAGACCGTCTGGCGAAGATGAACCCCCACGAAGTGGTTCCCTCGTTGGAAATCAATTTCGTCGAGGACGGAGTCCAGCGTATGCTGCTCAGCTGTTCGCCACCCCGGCTGCTCCACACTCACGTGCCTTACTGTTACTTGCCGGAGGCGGTGAGGGAGTCCGGGTGCAGGTTCGTGTACGTGGCTCGTAACCCGAAGGACACTGTGGTGTCGATGTGGCATTTCTACAACAAGATGTTCAAGCGCGACGGTGGTTCCGAGCCGTTCCCCCTGGAGGGAGCGGTGGAGAGCTTCTGCAGCGGGGCTGTGCCTTACGGGCCATTTTACGAACACGTGCTGGGCTACTGGGAAGAGAGCCAGAGGCGACCCGAGGAGGTGTTGTTTCTCAAGTACGAGGAGCTGTGCAGGGAGCCCAAAGAGCAGGTGAGGAAGCTGGCTTCGTTTATGGGGAGGCCGTTTCCCTCGACGTTGACGAGGCGCGATGGAGATGATGATGAGGGGGTGGAGAAAGTGTTGTGGCGTAGCAGCTTGGGTAGGCTCAAGGAGTTGGAGGTTAACAAGAACGGTGTACTGGTAGGCCAAGTATCAAATGCCCACTTCTTCAGGAAAGGAACTGTGGGGGATTGGAAGAACTACTTGACTCCTCAGATGGCTGAGCGCATCGACCAACTCACACAGTTCAAGTTGCAGGGAACCGAACTTTCTCTTGATGATTGATTGATTCTATTTTGTACCACCGTCCTCTTTTTTCTTCTTATGCTTCAATTTGATGTTGCCTTTTGTGTTTTCTGTTCCGGTGTCAGATCTCTTAATAAAAGTAAAGAACGTAATACTAAATAGATTGTGGTTTCATGTATTGAATTGGTGAATCCAAGTGACATCCAACTTTTAGACCATTCTGAAAATTTTAGGTACTAATGTCATCCTAAAAACTTTTAGGAACAAAAAATTCAATGTTTGAACTATATTTTAAGATAAATACAATTTATTAGCCAAAATTTTCGAAATACAACAATGGCTGCTCCAGCTACCTTCCTTCACAGGCCCCCTCAAGTTGGGAGGTAGATGTCATGAACTCCCAGCTTGGAAAGAAGAAACACAAAACGATCAGTCGACAAACCCTTAGTGAAGAAGTCTGCGACTTGATCTTCTGTGCGAATGTGATGCAAACTGAGGAGGCCTGATTTCAATCTTTCACGAGTGACATGGCAATCAACTTCAATGTACTTTGTCCGCTCGTGAAAGACTGGGTTTTTCGCAATATGTAAAGCAGATTGATTATCGCAGAAAACCCTCACTGGCGTAGGATGTTTCACTTCAAAGAATTCCAGCAGTGACTTCAACCACTGAACTTCACAGGACAACTGAGCCAAAGCTCTGTATTCAACTTCTGACGAGGATCGTGACACTGTAGTCTGCTTCTTGCTCTTCCAGGTCACGAGAGAATCACCAAGAAAAGTGCAATAACCAGTCACTGAACGCCTGGTATCAGGGCAAGTAGCCCAATCTGAATCTGAATAACCACTGAGCTGGGTGGAGTTTGCTGCAGAAAACCATAAACCTTGAGCTGGACAAGATTTTAAATACCTGAGAATTCTGTGTAGAGCTTGTAAATGAACATTGGTAAGGGCCCCCTGAAATTGACAGAGCTGGTGAACAGGAAAGCAGATGTCTGGCCTCGTGGTGGTCAGGTACTGAAGTTGGCCAAGCAAATGACGAAATTCAGAACCATCAGGAAGGGCAGTTCCATCTGTAGCAGAAAGGGAAGTCTTCATACTCATAGGAGTCTTGGCAGGCTTAGATTCTAGGAAGTCAGAAGAGGCCAGGAGTTCTAAGCAAAATTTTCTTTGGCAGAGGGAAATGCCTTCTGCAGTTCTGGAAATTTCAATGCCAAGAAAGTACTTGAGGTTTCCTAGATCCTTGATCTTGAAAGAAGATTGTAAATGTTGCTTGACTGCTTGTATAAGCTGTAAATTGTCTCCAGCAATGATAAGATCATCAACATATATAATAACAATCACACAGCATCCCTTAGCAATAAGTTTGAAAACTGAGTAATCATCAAAAGACTGATGGAAACCAAAGTTCTGTAGGCATTCACTGAGCTTGATGTACCATTGCCTACTAGCCTGTTTTAGGCCATACAGGGACTTCTTTAACTTGCAAACCATCCCCTCCATTCCTTTCTGATCCTTCAAATTGGGAGGAAGTTCCATGTACACTTCCTCTTCCAATTCACCATGTAAAAATGCGTTGCTAACATCCATCTGGTGTAAAAACCAGCCCTTGACTGCTGCAACAGCTAACAATAGCTTTACTGAATTCATCTTAGCAACTAGAGAGTACGTATCAGTGAAATAAACCCCATATGTCTTAGTGTATCCCTTAGCCAGTAACCAAGCTTTAGCTCTCTCAATCACACCATCAGGTAAGTATTTAGTTTTATAAACCCACTTGTTCCCAACTATGTTCTTATCAAGTGGTCTGGGCACAATATCCCAAGTGCCATTGGCATCAAGAGAAAACATTTCTTCATTCATGGCCTGTCTCCAAATTTCATGTAAAATGGCCTCTGCATAAGTCTTTGGTTCTGGTATAACAGTGATAGAAAGAGAGAAATGTTTATGTGATGGTGAGAGTTGATCATAGTCAAGACACTGACTAAGTGGGTTGAGAAGTTTAGAGTCATGTGATGGTGTGGTGGAGGTGAGAAGACTGACATGATAGTCAGCAAGGTGAGAAGGTTGTTTGATTGTTCTAGTTGGTTTTCTGATAGCTATGGGGAGATCCGAGACAGGAGGTCCTGGAGTTGGGGAAGAATAGGTGTAGAGGAGAAAGGAGGAAGATCATTGGGAGATTCTGAAGTCTCTGATCCAGAAGAAGGGGGGAAAATCTGGATCTGTTGTTTCATGAACATTATGATCATCAGACAAGAGAGGTTGTGTGAAATCATCAGGGGAAGAGTTATAGGGAAAGGACTCAGAGGTAGAACCAGATTTATGAACACTTAATTGAGGTTGCTTGAATGGGAATACTTCTTCATGAAACACAACATCTCTACTGATGAAAACCTGATGATTATCCAGATCATACAATCTGTACCCTTTAATGTCAAAAGGATAACCTAGGAAAACAGCTCTCTTAGCTCTAGGATCAAACTTACCCTCATGATCATCTAAAACAGTGGCAAAAGCCATGCAGCCAAACACCTTAAGGTTGCTGTAATCAGGTGGCACACCATAAAGACATTCAAAGGGTGATTTGTTGTCCAACACAGGTGTGGGAATTCGATTTATCAGGTAAGCTGCATGGAGAACAAAGAAACTCCAAAAACTAACAGGCATCCCAGATTGTATTTTGAGTGATCTGGCAACATTCAGCAGATGCTGATGTTTCCTTTCCACTCTTCCATTTTGCCGAGCAGTTCTCACACAGCTCATTTGATGCAGAATCCCATGTTCTTGATAGAAACTCTCCATATTAAATTCCTGTCCTTGGTCAGACCTTATGACCTTAATGGTTTTCTCAAATTGATTCTTAACCATCAAACAAAATGACTGAAAAAGTTGCCTTGCTTGGGACTTACTACTCATCAGAAACAACCAAGTAGATCTACTGAAATCATCTACTACAGTCAAGAAATATTTAAATCCATCAAGGAAAACCACATCAACTGGCCCCCAAATATCCACATGAACTAAATCAAATGTAGCCTTACTTCTAGACTCACTTTGAGGAAAGGGCAAACGTTTCTGTTTTGATAACTGACAAACCTCACAATGAGAGGAAGAAGGTAAAACAACTTCACTACACTGTTTTTGAATAGTTTGTAATCTAGGAAAAGACAAATGTCCTAGTCTTGAATGCCATAAGGGTGAATCCCGACTGGTTTTCACTCCGCAGACTTGGTGTTTGTTGGATTGAGTAGACTCAGCTTCACTCCCAAGCAAGTATAGCCCTCTATCTACCCGGATTGAACCAATCTTCTGTTGAGAGATTAGGTCCTGAACACAACAGAAGTTTGATTCAAACAAAAGTGAGACAGGTGTGTTTTTGGTTAACTGGCTGACAGAGATAAGATTGTAGGAAAAACT